TTATTGAAATAAGAAAACCTTTCTTTCTCTCTCTCTCTCTCTCTCATGCAAACTACTAGTTTTAATGATATTTTTAATATTAGTCTATCATTTGCCACTATTTTGCATATTTATGTCTAAATTTAATATTAGTTTTAAAGATTTTTATAACAAAATTATACACATTTCAAAACAATTGAAATGTTTAATTAAATCTGATATGAAATCCTGTATTTCTCTCTTTTGATATTTATAAATGATTTTTGGAGTTGTGCTGAAATTTTTGGTTGAATTAAATCACGAGTTTTAGTGTCTGTTGTAATGATTGAATCGATTAACACTCGTCTGAATGGTTGCGACGGTTTAATGAGTGCACAGATATTCAAGATTTAAAGGATTTGTTATAATTAGTTACGAAAATGTGGACTTAATTTCATAGAAACGAATTCATTTGTAACAAATAATTGAGAGCAAGTCTAATATAAATTGAGTTTTAAAGTGTTATTAAAGTATATTATAATAAAGCACTTCATTCTCATTACTTTACTTTATTTAATATTAACTTAGTTTGTGTTTAAAATTTTATATAATATTTTATTACTGTATTGTAGAGTGTTGTTCAGCGATCATCAGTGTTGGGAGGTATAGGTACATCACTGTACATTGCTTTGATTTTATATAGCATTAAATTTTAAAATATATTAAATTTTAGTTTCAAATGTAATCAATAGAGTATAAATATAAGTGAATAGTTATTAAAATTATTTATTGAACAAAATATTGTTGTTTAAACTTATAATAATTGTTTTTCTCAAATAAACTACAAGATTACATTTATTTATTTATTATTTAACAATTTTGATTGAGTTATATAACATTATATATTCATTTAGTTATATAATTATAATATTAATTGGTTTAGTAAAAGTTTTTATTTTGAATAAGAAAATGGTATAAATATATGAAAATAAATTCATATTTATATTGATTTTTTCTTATTGTGTGAATATAATCCTAATTTATAAGTCATTAGGCTTTTATTTATCCTATTATTTAACATTTTTGATCACATAATCTTATGAATTAATATTTCGGCACAAGTTTTACATTTGATATTCACATTGTGTTTAAATAGAAAAAGCCATTCATAAGAATTGTGAGATAAGTATTGGAGATAAATAATGGAAATGTGGAAACATTTATCACTTTCATTATATCAATATCTATTCTATAGTATTCTATACAAGAATTGTATTAATAAATATTCAAATACTATAACTTATATTCACAGCGGAAAGTAACACAGAATTCAGTCATTTATATTACGGCTGATATTCACCAAAATAATCAAATCAAAATCAAAACGACTCTAAAATTTAATTATAATTCCAATTATATTTGCATTAATATTCATTTAAAATATGCAATATTTATATTAAAATTATTATAATTATAAAACAACACAAATTTGCTGACAATTATGTAATGTATGATGTGTAATATTTGTGTCTCATAGGTTGTGGCTGTGATATCAGTGTTTTTCATATGTGTGTCGATATTTTCGTTTTGTTTGAAAACTCACCCCAATATGCGAGTGCCGGTCATTCACAACAAGACAGTGCACACACACCTCAACACCACGACGTGGACTCTCGACAAGTTCAAGACCGACGCTCACGAGGCCTTCTACTACATCGAGAGCATATGCAACGCCTGGTTCTCCTTCGAGATCGCCATGAGATTCGTGGTATAGTCCTATTCAGACACTTCACCAAAACAGACAAACATAACATTTATACAAACAAATAACACCAACTAATTGCTAGACAAATATCGCAAAGCTTTCGCTAATTAAAATACATGCGAATTTCTCCCACACATTATGTTTGGATCTCATTTAGCATTTTGTTTAGTCGTTTGAATGTAAATTTTAAGCCAAAATCGCGTATAATTTAGCGGCAGATTGTTTTGAATGTGTTTTTATGCAATGGCTTTCTATTAACATTATTTTTTATTATTTTTCACCATTATTTCTAATAATTTGTGGCAAAGATATTCTTGATTCAAATTTACAGAATTTTTACAAATATTGCAGAATATGAGATAATATTTGAATTAAATGTATGAAAGTGTATGAAAATTGCTGTGATTTGGTATTCGGCGAGAAAAAAGTGCCTCAAAGTAAAGTAAAGTATCAAATATTTCGCTTTCAATACTTGGGAAACAAAAGTGGAATTTACATAAAATAAAGATAAGTTTAAAATAATAGTTATATTAAAATGGAAATATAGAGACGAATGAAATAATGGTTGGTTTAAAATGATTTCCCAGAAATTAACATTTAGTTGTTTTATAAAACCCATTATCAATTGTGTTGTCTGTTTTATCCATTGTTTTCCACTCATTTTAGACAACAATTTATTAGCAGTGCTTTTAATGTCCGAATAAAAGCATTTTTACTTCAAATTTATTACATCTTTATATAAAAGTTTTTTTCCGCTCAAATGAATGACCGATTCATAAGAACCGCAAAATTGTACAGAAAAATAACATATAGTTTACCAGTATATACAGGGTGTCCGATGTTTCACAAAAATACCATGGCACAATTACCAAACATGTTTTCTAGTGCTGTACAATTTGTGATTATAGTTTGTTATATAACATGTTGGACACTGTGTAATATGTTTTCAGTGAAATATGTTTCAAAATGTTTTTAAAAGTCCATCACTTAATCATATTTATTGATAGAGATCTGGTATGAGTGGCGAAGGAGAGGAATGGGTATCCATTATTGTTATTATCGCTTATATGAATGGCATTCAGCCATAGATAGGGTTTGAATTTATTGATCAATTGTGAGACAAATATATGGGCAGACAATTCATGGTATGGTATATACACTGTTGTGCTGAAGAAGAAGTGTATGAAATGTGAGAACACAACTAGTATTTCACATGTATTTGGCATTTGTTTGAATATAACAAATATCCGGGGCTTTAGATAAATCTCCGCAAAATCTTTTCTTTTTAACAAAAAAAACAATTCTATATATTTTGGTCTCATTTGAGAGGAAAATAAAGAGAAAATAATATTTTGCTACAATTTTTTACAAAATAATGGGTTTTATGCGATACCTTCTATGCCATTGTAAGCGAACATAAAAAACACAAAACAAATAAAAAGCACAAAAATATATTGCAAAGTATGGAAATAATGACATGTATGGGACGGGTGGCCGGTATGCCATCGCCCACCTAATTGTTACCCTGATGATTAGGTGAGTCCGAGTAAACTAGACTTTGTGCGCGATATGATAAACGTGATTGACTTCATCGCCACGATGTCCTTCTACTCCGATATGATTTTGCAACGATTGGCCGCCGATATTGAAAACGCAGATATATTAGACTTCTTCAGCATTATTCGTATACTAAGACTCTTTAAGCTGACCCGACATTCGAGGGGTCTTAAGATATTAGTTCACACATTCAAAGCCAGCGCTAAAGAGCTGTTTCTATTGGTCTTCTTTCTCATTCTGGGAATCGTTATATTCGCGAGTCTTGTCTATTATGCGGAACGACTTCAGGCCAATCCTCGCAATGACTTCAAAAGTATACCCGAGGGCTTGTGGTGGGCCATCGTTACCATGACTACTGTCGGCTACGGTAACCATTCATTTCATAAACCATACGTTTACACGTCCACCAAACGAGCTAACTGTGTGCGTATTGTGATTTGACCTAGGTGATATGGTGCCCCGAACGTACGCCGGTATGCTTGTGGGCGCTCTGTGCGCGTTGGCCGGTGTACTCACAATAGCACTCCCGGTGCCCGTTATTGTGTCCAACTTTACAATGTTTTACTCACACACTCAGGCGCGGGAAAAGTTGCCCCGACAGAGGCGGCGGGTCTGCAATGTGCCCACCGATGAGAATATTGAAAACAATAAGTCCAACACCGGTCACCCGGCGGGTCATACGTCGGCCGCCGCCAGGCGTATGAACGCCGTCAAGATATCATATGATGTCTCTCCCAAATCAGGTGTGAATTTATTTTATATTTTTTATAATCAAATACAATATACTCTATAATATCACCGGAAGAAAACAAAATGTTTTTAAATTACTATTTGATGTCTTTTTGAGACACAGAAATTTGAGAAGAATATAAGTTATTATAAATAGTTTAACATAAGTGTTAATCTGATATTTTTACTAATAATTTGCCACAAATTGATTCACGATTTAGTCATTAAATTTAATGCCCAATAATTGGATATATTATATCATTTGGTCTTTATTTTGATCTCTATATCGATTAAATTATATTTATTCAAAATCTATTTATTCTGTTCTTTGTTTTTTGAGTCCAAATATACTTTTCTTTTATTTATGTCTTAATAAAATCACATCTAATATTACATCTGATATCACAATCACGTCTTTATATCATAGAATTTAAGTGAATTTATATCAAAAATCAGATAAAATAAGACCGAAATTTCATTTTCTTATTCCATCACTTAATAGACATTTATTTTGCTCTCGTTTTTAATTAAATAAACATTTGATAATAAAAATGATTATAACTTTATATATAAAAACTAGTGAATAGTGCTATGGATTAGTTGTGATACTCAATCACTCGAGTCCTAAATTATTCCATAAGGAATCCAATGAATTGATAAATAGGTATTAAAGTGTTGAATATTTTCCCGATAAAAATCTAATTGTATTTTGCAAACCGTATGCAATATTTAAGTCAAAACACATATCGGTTTCTAAGAGCAAACATATTGACCAATTGATGGGAAGCCCTGGAGGTAAGGCTCACGTCTGACATCGACTGACCATATATTGGTGTTCATTATTCACGAGTTGTAGATCTCTGTTAATGATCTCAAAAACACTGTTAACTAATGGCAGTGGAAATGCCTCCGGAATACTGAATGTAAACTACTTTTAATTTGTCACTACTTTTCTGATCGCAATCTTTTTCTCTCCCAATCCCTCACATCTGATGATCGATAAGAAAAAAAGATATTTCGTTTGATTTAATTCTTTTACTTTAAAGCCAGAATAAAATAGACTAAAAACTATATTTAAGTGAATTTAAGATACTATATTTCTGCACTAACACTATAGTCTACATTATAATCTACACTAAAATAATTCTGTATTTATTTGCAAAAGTATATTTGGACTCAAAAAACAAAGAACAGAATAAATAGATTTTGAATAAATATAATTTAATCGATATAGAGATCAAAATAAAGACCAAATGATATAATATATCCAATTATTGGACATTGAATTTAATGACTAAATCGGGAATCAATTTGTGGCAAATTATTAGTAAAAATATCAGATTAACACTTATGTTAAACTATTTATAATAACTTATATTCTTCTCAAATTTCTGTGTCTCAAAAAGACATAAAATCGTAATTTAAAAACATTTTGATTTCTTATATTATATTTGATTATAAAAAATCTAAACGAAATTCACACCTGATTTGGGAGAGACATCATATGATATCTTGACGGCGTTCATACGCCGGGCGGCGGCCGAGTGTTGACCCGTCGGGTGACCGGCGTTGGACTTACTGTTGTCCATATTGTCTTCAGGCGCGGGCACATTGCACACCCGCCGCCTCTGTCGGGGCAACTTTTCCCGCGCCTGAGTGTGTGAGTAAAACATTGTAAAGTTGGACACAATAACGGGCACCGGGAGTGCTATTGTGAGTACACCGGCCAACGCGCACAGAGCGCCCACAAGCATACCGGCGTACGTTCGGG